CTCAGGCGGCTGTGTTGCAGGGCGCTGTGGAGCCCATGCAGATCGACGTGGACCCGCAGGAAGACCCCCAGAATGCACCCGATGTCAACTACGTGGTGGAGAACCCCACCCTGGTACGCGGCCCGGTGGGGGGTCTAGGCCTGGGGACCGGGCCCCAGCCTCCCGCGGCCAGCCTCAGCCTTGCTTGCGACTTCAGGCCCAGCTCCAGGTCCTAGGCCCAGTGGGAGCCCCACACCTCTTTGCTGTTAACCCTCCCGTGCGGGTAGAGCAGGCCACGGCTCCCCACCCCACCCCTGCAGTCTGCCCCCTGCACTGCACCCCGGGGGCTGTGCCCAGGGTCTCGGAGATAGATGAAGATTGGTATTCCAGCCTGGACAGGCCCCGGGGTCCCTGGCCGGCTTAGGTGCAGGGCTCCTGCGCACCCTGGCTGACCCCCCCCCCCCCCCCCCCGCCTTGCGCCAGGACCTGGAGCAGTACGCAGCCAGCTACAGCGGGCTGATGCGCGTCGAGCGCCTGCAGTTCATCGCTGAGCACTGTCCTGCACTGCGGGTAGAGGCCCTCAAGATGGCCCTCTCCTTCGTGCAGAGGACCTTCAACGTGGACATGTACGAGGAGGTCCATCGGAAGCTGTCTGAAGCCACCAGGTGAGGAGAGCTGGAGGGGTCTGCGCTGGCGGCCACGCCCGTCATCCCAGCTGCTCAGGAGGCTGAGAACCACGGTTCAAAGCCAGCCCAGGCAGCAAAGTCCCTGAGACTCTTATGTCCAACAAACTACCAAGAAAAGCCAAAAGTGGTGCTGTAGTTCCAGTTGTAGTGCTTTCCTTGAGCAAGCAGCTCAGGGAGGCACTCAAGCCCAGGACCAGCCCCCCAGCTAGCGGCCGGAGCTCCGGGGCCCCTGCAGGCCGCCTCACAAGGGGGAAGCAACGGCCGGCCCGCTCCCCTGCCCAGGCCAGCCTCCCCTGGAGGCCGAGTGCCGCACTGCCACCACCACAGCCTCCGGGCCCTTTGGCCGGGGGTGTCTCCCTCTGCCTGCCACTCCCGCCTTTGCTGACAGCCAGGCTCGCCCACAGGGAGCTTCAGAATGCCCCGGATGCCATCCCTGAGAGCGGCGTGGAGCCTCCGCCGCTGGACACGGCCTGGGTGGAGGCCACCCGGAAGAAGGCCCTGCTGAAGCTGGAGAAGTTGGACACAGACCTGAAGAACTACAAGGGAAACTCCATCAAGGAGAGCATCAGGTGCGGCTCCCCCGGGGCCAGGAGGCGGGGGGGGGGGGGG